ATCTCTTGGAGTAAATTAAACCTATGTTTGTGTCCAAGGGCCTCCCTCCATATCGCATCCAATTAAAGATCATCACGCGATGCCACAGGAAGACGGCAACCGACTGGCTCACAATTATTGGCTCTTTCATGCTGAAAATCTTTCCTCCCGGGGGGGGGGGGTACAAGCACATCTGCATAATTAGCAGAAGCAGCTACACAAAAATAATTAGCCTGCTGAAAGCCAAAAGGGGGGAAACTGTAATTTTTGCTTCAACTGGTTGACTAATTATATGTTAAAAAAACCAAATAGAGACGCACCGAGCATCATCGAGCAAGCCAACGTGCATTTTATCTCCATTTTCTAGCTCTGAGCCCTCCTGGTCACCTAGCAACAAGCAGCGTACTCACAAAGATGAAATCCTGCCTCTGTCTGTACAGAAATGAAACACACTTCAAATTACCGCTGAGTCCTTTTCCCTCGATAACTGTTGTTTTATTCATAATATTATTAAGCTTTAAAAACAGAATCCAGATGCAGAAAGAAAGAATAATAAAAAAAAAAAAGAAAGATCAAGTGCATCTTGAGATTTACTTGACAAAACTATCATGAACTGCAATAAAGTCAGTCAGAAAACATGCAAAAAGGCTGGGACTGTTCGGTCTGAAAATGTACAATGGCTCGTGTTCAGCCGGCAGCGAGCCGGTACGAACCCAACGGCTTCAACGGGAGTTGCTCTCGATTGGCCTCGGCCAAACTGAGATCAGAATACGTCTCATCATCTTAATAAACGCGGCTTGCAAACTGACTGCCTCCCTGCTTGGGCCGACAGTTATTATTTATTGCCTGGTGTTTGTTCAAGAGAGTCTTTAATGACTTTTAGCACAGATCAAAAGACTTCCAACGTGCACGCGGAGTCGTTACGCTGGCTGGCCGCGGTCGCAGGGAGAGCGGTTTGCGAAAAATGCACGTATCCAAGCCCCCGTTCTTGGAGAGCAATGCGATCCATTCTAGTTATAGCACCGCTTTGACTGATTTTTTTTGGCCTGATCCGCCATTTCAAAAACAATCATTTCTTTTCTGCCTGCTTAACTCCTCTGCAGAGCCGTACAAGCCAGGCTCGACAAGCGTTTCAAATCCTTTTGCCGTCAGCGTGGCTCAGTGATCCTGGGTGGCTACGGCACGGCGACAAGCAACCGCATTAGCCAGGAGCTTGCTCCCAGCGATGTGGCAGAAGAAGGCTTTGGGTATGGTATTGATATATGACATTATATATGAAGACATGTAGATGTTGCGGGTATTGGGTCTGGATCCACGTGATGATCTGGAGCAACGTGCTTTGCTCTCGCCTCTTTTATAACAAGCCTGGGTACACGATACATTTACAACAGTGAAATCAGCCTTTATACTGGTGAGACAAATGACCAGACATCATGTACAGCCCCACACTGGGATGGTTTAGTCAAATCCAGTGTGGAATTACCCAACATGAAAACAGGAAAAATCCTTCGGCGCAAATCACCTAGGTGTATATGTTATCTGTCCGCAGCTTATCCCAGGGTAGCCATTTGCTCCTGGTGGCAAATAGGCTATTCTCTGCTCTTTTGCCTTTTGGTGGCGAGGGGCTATAAAAGCACCTACTGCAAGCCACTACCCCAGGATAGGTGCCAGTCTGTCCGCTCTGGGGCCCGCTGCTATTTAGGTGATGTAAATTATGCTGGCTTAAATGTGCCATTTGCCCATGCCCTGAGAAAGCCGCAATTTAAAGCTTTGGGCACAGTGTTAAACAGAATTATTTTTTGCAATAAAGACAGAAGTTTACTGTCTTCACAAAACAGGTTTTCATGCTGGCTGCAGGGATTGAGATTTTTGACAGAAAAAGTCAGTGAAAACCAGGGGTTTGCAACCTTTTTTCCACTTATGGACTCCATAAAAAAAAAGGGTTGAATAGAGGTGCAAACCCCTTTGGAAAATTTTGAATGGAGGTGCAGACCCCTTTGAATTGCAAGTGTAGGTATTCATGTACTTTTTACTGATAAATAGTCATCTTTCATGGACCCATTAGACACGGTCTGTAGACACCCGGGGTCTATGGACCACGGGTTAAAAACCACTGGTGTAGACAAAACCTCACACCAGACTGAAGATGCTGGTGCTAGAGCTAATGCAGAACAGACCAGACACTGGGCTGAACGAGTAGTGGGATTAGCTGGGGACATAGTAGATACCCTGGAGGGTAGGGCTAGGATTCAGAGTGACCTTGACAAATTGGAGGACTGGGCCAAACGAAATCTCGTGAGGTTCAACAAGGACAAGTGCAAAGTCCTGCACTGAGGATGGAAGAATCCCAAACACCGGGACAGGCTGGGGGCTACTGGCTGGGCAGCAGCTCTGCAGACAAGGACCTGGGGGTGACAGTGGACAAGAAGCTGAATATGAGCCAGCAGTGTGCCCTTATCGCCAAGAAGGCTAACAGCATCCTGGGCTGTAGGAGCATTGCCAGCAAATCAAGAGAAGTAATTATTCCTCTCTACTCTGCCCTGGTAAGGCCACATCTAGAGTACTGTGTCCAGTTTTGGGCCCCCCACTACAGAAAGGATGTGGACAAATTGGAGAGTGTTCAGGGGAGGGCAAGGAAAATGGTTAGGGGGCTGCGGCACATGACTTATGAGGAAAGGCAGAGGGAACTGGGCTGATTCAGCGTGGAGAAGACTGAAGGGGGATTTAATAGCAGCCTTCAACTATCTGCAAGGTGGTTGCACAAAGGATGGAGCTGGACTGTTGTCAGTGGTGGCTGAACAAGGAGCAATGGGCTCAAGTTGCAGCAAGGAAAGTTGAGGTTGGACATTAGGAAAAACTCTCACTAGGAGGGTGGTGAGGCACTGAACCAGGTTACCCTGAGAGGTGGTGGCATCTCCGTCCTTGGAGGGTTTCAAAACCCAGCTAGACAAAGCCGTGTCTGGGATGATGTAGCTGGGGCGGTCCTGCTTGGAGCAGGGGGTTGGACTAGAGGTGACCTCCTGAGGTCCCTTCAACCCTCACTTTCTAGGGTTGTACAGGCAGGTTATGGTGCTCAAGCTATTCTGGTATCCACGCCATCGAAGATAACATGATTGCATGGCCAGAAGGCATGGCAGAGTGGCATCTTACCAACTAACTATAAGATCCTGTTTTCTGCCAGATGTCAGACTAACACAGCTAACTACCTCTCTGCAATTACACAGCTAAGGTTTACCCATGAAACGTCAAGTTTTCCTTCCTCTATGTCTACTCCTCAGCCAAGGCTGCTCTTGCTGGGCTCTCCTGGGAATACCAGTGGCCATCCTACTCAGAGCCGTGACCCGCTTGATTTTACTGTAGAGTTACCCTCACGTTGTGCCGCCAATGCCCCTGCAAGCTGAGCTTGCGACTCATTAACAGATTCCAAGGCAACTTCCGAAGAAAACAAATCATTACCAGCTTGCACAGTTTGGATATAATTAATCTGTGTTGACACAGTGTAGCAACATAATGTCACAACACCATGCCGCACAAGCTGCTCCCAAGCTCCAATAAGCGACAGCATGACGTGACGTAACCAGATGCACCACCTTTTAAGGCGATCTTCTCTGGGCATATCCATTAGCATCTCTCATTAAGACATAATGAGCCACATTCTAGTTTAATTGATATCCGTGATGCTGGAGCAGGGGCAGATTCAGTCTACTCTGTCCTGGGTATTCAGGACTAAAGGTACGATGGCTATGAATGCTTAAATATTTGATCAAGGAATACCTTTTTTTCCTTCCTGAGTCTAAATCAAGACCCGAACGCTGTTTTTCAGTTATACGTTTCTTAACAACGTCCCTCGTGCCGAAGAAACGGCAGATCGCCCTCATCATAAACGTCGCCCACGAGCAATATTCTTCCACGTTCAGCTTAGGTTTGACCCCACAATGTCACACTGCATTTCGCCATTCCCAAATGTACAGCAAAGCGCCATGTAGCGGCGTTAAATACACCCACAAATTATTTTATGAATTTTTAAGCTGCGCCAGGAAATGTCTGCTCCGGTGCAGAACTGCCTTCAGACCGTGGCTGCTTGTCTAGCTCTATCACGTGTGCATTGTTTCAGAGAGAAAGGGCACTGCAGTTTAGAGGGAAGAATAGTGCCCGGAAAGGAAAATAACTCTGTCTTTCCCCGGACCTGATCTTGCCAGACAAAAGCAGATTCATCTCCACTCTCACCAGCCACCTTCCTAGCTGTTAAGGGGTGGGGGCACCATCTTTGATGCTTGCAACCATCCAGGGAAAGCATGTGAAACCTGTCGCTGGAGCCTGCTCCAGCCTCCCCAGCAGTGAATCTGAATGCTCTTTTACATTTACAAAGAGTAAGTCCTTCACAGGTTTCAGTTCCCCACCCACCAACACTTTAAACAAAAAAAAGAGTCACTTGCTCTGACTCATGAGAACTCGTCTTGAAGACTATTGTAAGGTTATCAGCCTCTGACCTTAAATTCCCTGACGGTTACATGCATATATTTCCCTTTTCCTATTTCTCCTTTGGTAAAAACAGACGGTAGTTGCATGCAACACGTGGCGATTCTTTGCAAGGAGGCTTTTACTTCTACGGCCACTGGTCTGCCTCACGCCGATCATTCGCAAAGGAGAAGGGGACGCCAGCAGCATTTCTACTCACCGCCCGACCCTTGGATCATGTTTCCGGATTTCTGGACTTCATCAAATTTTGTAAAGATGACATTCAACCTGTTTGAAAGGGAGAAACAAAGATGTAACGAGGAACCCTTCTTAATAAGAGACTGATTCTCCTCCCATTGAAGCCGCTGGGAGTTTTGCCATTGAACTCATTGAAAAGAAGGTAAGGACTGAAATTTTACATAAAGTGTCGACACAGAATGGTGATAGTTGGTTAGTAATATACAGGAAAGAAATAGAGAATAGATAAGAGATATGGAAGTGGCGTGTTATACCCAGGGCCGGTAGTGGATGCACAGAAGGACAGAATCATAGAAAATGGGGCTATAAAGGGACTTCTGGCAGTCAAATCTGGTCCAATCCCTTGCTCAAGGCAGGATCGGCCCCATCTAAACCATCCTAACCAAGTGCTCGCATTATATAACCCTATTTTCAACCTATTTAACTTTGCTGAACTTAAAGCATTCACAGACACGGGTGAAAGACAAAAGGTTTGCGAGCTTGAAAAAAAATTCACCTTCAGCCTTAACATTTCTCTTGTTTTTGCCTTGCTTTCTGCGTCACGTTTCCATTGCAGCACACCCCGTCAGGTCAGTGCTCCATCCCCGGGAGCTGAGTCCTCGAGGATGGGCTGTGGCAAACCTTCCCATGGGGGCATCCAGGGAAGGGAGAGGAGACAGGCAGAAAAAGCCACCCTCCCCTGCACTCTTCTCAAGGCTGCTCGACTCCACGCTGCCGCCCAAAGGAGAACTGACGCTATATGGGGGTATATTCAAAACCCCTCCTCTTAGGGGCAAGTCTAAGCGGACCCCTTGCCAGAAACCTATTTATCAGGCCAGTTTAAAAATGAGATGCAAACGTGCTTTTCCAAGATATCGGCTAGTCCTTGTTCCTTCTCCCGACAGCAAAAAGAAACTATTTATTGGCTGAGACCACAAGCACTGAAAACCTGAGCGTATCCCGGGACAGGAGAAAGGAAGAGGAGACACTGGCATGGAGCTATTGGCCTCTGCCAGCTGAACATCTCTCTCACCACCCTCTCCTCTAGATATATGGTCTTGTTCCCTTTCTCAGACCCCTTGCCTCTACCCTCACCTCTCCTTGCCTCCTTCTCCCGCTCTCAGCTCTGACTCCATTTCCAGCTCCCCCGGCACTGCGCGCACGCCCTTTTTTACGTGCCTCCTTCAGATCCTCTTCTTCCTTGAAGGCTTCCTGCAATACTCATCCATTTGTCTGCATCTCCCTACCGCTTGGGGCTGAAGCATGGAGCCAAGTGTCTCGCTCACCAAGGCAGACCCCCTTTCTTTTGGGGGCTGCGTATTCTGCGTGGGGACAGGCACGGTGGAGACTCACGGCCAGATCTTCCAAAGGGTGCCAGACTCTTCCGAAAATTTGCCATTAAAGTGTCTCCGCGAAAGCACACTTGGAAATCTAGCCCTGCGAGCACAGCTCTGCTGCTAGATAAGTCAATGGCAAACCTGGTCCCATTGATTTCAGTGGGATCAGTTTGTAAGAAAGACATGCATCTTGCCTTAGTTCACTGACATCGTAACAAATTAAGTCCTTCAAGGTCCCAAGGCTGCAAACATAATTCTTTGGAGGAAGATCTGTAGTTTCGAACTTGTGACGTAGTAAGCGTTGGGGGGGGGGAAGCCTCTGCTCTCATGCCCCGACAAGCCTCAGCCTGCACAAGAAGGGTTTGCTTCTCCACAAAGAGTTTAAGCATCACAAACCCTAGACCTGTCATTCACCCCAGTGCTGGTGAATGGTGCAGTGCAGGTCGGAGATCTTATCACAAATTTTTATTGGCAAATCCATCCAGAATCAGCCCGGCAGAACAGAGATGTGTTACCAGGTAGATGCTGCACTAATCAGAGATTAAAATGACTAGGCACATTTTTGTCCATGCCCTGGAAAAAATAAGCAGCCCCAATTATGCAGCTGCCTCTAACTCTCAGCCACAAATGCGAGATGCTTCTACCACTTCATTCGTGCACACTCTCCCGCTCAGCGTCCCACTCAGACCTGCCTTGTATTCCCTAAAGAAAAGCTTCACTGATTGCTTTAAAAAAGTTGTTCTTAAAAGGATGCATCCAAGATCCAGATGCACCAGGGAGGCCAGATAAACTGGCTGGTTTCCCAGCTGTTCAGCTAACCGTGTAATCTTAGCTGAGCCATTAAACTCCTCTCTGCCTCAGTTTCCACGTCTACACAATGCAAAGGCTAAGATCATTCCTTTGTCAAGTGCTTTGCGGTCCTCAGATGGAAGGCGCTAAACAGCTTTGCTAGATTTATACTCAAATTTGCTAAAGGAATTATACTGTGCGTCGGTCAGCACCCGGGCTCGCATGCTCTGGGATACCGAGCATACAAGCTCCAGCGCGCTGATGCAAAAGTGGTGGAAGTTATCACCACTGAAATTGCAGAAATACATTACAAACGTTAACCTCACAGATAACCAAGGCTGGCTAACTTGCACACAGCCCCAAAGATTCAACAGAACTACTGCGAAAGTAAGAAGAGCAAGCTCAAAAACGCACGCTGCATCGCTTCAACCCATGGTCTAGCTTTTGAAGGAGACTGAAAAACCTGAGGTCCCAAATGGAGCTTTTGTAAGTCAAATGGGTTGGCAATGTCTAAATATGGCTTGAGATAATAATAATAAGTAATATTATTATATTATTATTATTATTGCCGTTGTCGTTGTTATTATTATTAAATATTTGTTATTAAACATATATTATTAAGTATATTATTATTAAATATATTATTATTACTGCTATTACTACTGTTATTATTATTGTTGTTGTTATTAGCAGCAATGGCAATTACTATTATTAACTGTGACTGACAAATTCATTGTGCATTGGCACTGGTGGCCTTAGGGTTGTTGGGGCCCTGGGCAAGAGAGTCATTTGGGGCTCCTTAGAGACTTAATTTGAATGACCTATAAGCAAGTCGGACATTTGTTGCAAAATTTTGGGGTCCCCTAAAGTGTGGAGCCCCAGGCAGTTGCCCAGTTTGCTCTCCCCTAAGGCCACTACTGATGCTGGAGGAAAAGACAGGAAATTTTGGCCAACAGTTTTTAAATGTATGTCAACGTTCTCTGGTAGCGTTGTCAACGTGAAGAGGCCTCATGACTGAAGACGGGAACCAGCAACTGAAACTAATTAGAAGCAAAAGTGAAAATTACCCGCCTAGTTTTACTGTCCAGCAGAGGGATGAAAAAGAACAGCCTAAATTCACTTCCACACGTGTGATGATCTGCAGGCCAGAAGGGAACTTGATCCTCTGGTCTGTATCCTGTATAACACTGGCCACAAAATTTCACCCAGAGATTTTTATCTTACCTTTTGCTTTTTTACCGCCCCTGGATTTTCTTTTGCAATCGAACAAAAAAATACTACAGTAACAGATGAGACTGAGTTTAAATACACAGAGTTCCTAATGCACAAGACTGTAGTGTGTGCTTTGTGATATTCACTGTGTTTCTTTAACACCCAGCTCCTGGAGTCAAGTGATTATTTGAGAACCTCAGCTTTCTTTTTTATTTAAAAAAAAAAGTTTCAAGCCTCTTGGTTGCAGAGAACAACTTAGAAATGTGATCAGACTGCACCTGAAAGGTTTGAACACTGAAAGATTTATACGTAAAGTCTCAAATGCAGGATATTTTGTACAGCTCTCGTGATTGTTAGGTCAGCCTCATGATCTGGAATACTAAACATGATTTTTTAGCTTGCCGATTTGCTTTTAATAGACTGTTGTAACATGAACCTTAACCACTTGGCTTAATTCAATTTTATGAATGTCTTCAATAGTCTTTAAATGCTTTCCTTCCATCTTATGGCCCCAGTCCTGCAAGTACTTAGGTGCTTACTTCATTTGCTGCAGGTGAACAATCCCCATTTGCTTCTCTCTCCCACCTAAAATTAAGTACATGATTAAGTGTTTACACTATGGGGGAAGCGGGGAGGGTGTCTAGAAGCCCTAGGTTCACACAAAAGGCCCCTGCACTCAAAGGAAAAATGAAAAGAAATCAAGAACAGTCAACAAAAAGGGATATTCTCTACTCACCGAGACTGTGGTAATCCTTTTTTACTGAGATCTGCCCTGACACGTTCGCCTACGTGTCTGTAAATTTCCACAAGGCTGTTTATTGCTGAATCTCGAACCTAAATATTAAGGAAGAGACCTGATCAAAATTGATCCTTGGTTTAATTTGCAATACCACTTCCTAAGCAAAGCAAGAAAAAGCAACAGCAGTTACTACAACAACGTTTACGGAGTATTTCCCTGCTCCATCCACAGATCTGAAAGCGTGGTAGGTACCATTAGGCTCACGTTACTGCAGACCCTCGCTGATGATGGGACACTGGAAGCTGAAGTGACTTCCCCAGAGATAAAGTGAGTCAGTGGGAAAGCTGTGAAGCCAGCCTAAGTCGCCATCCTTCAGTCACACGGCAGGGCTAGGTCAGGCTTGCAAAAGTCCCACTCATCCCCTCCTCTACAATAGTCATACTTTTGCAAAGCAAAATGAAATAGGCCTCTGGATACTTTTCTCACCGCTGCGGTAAGGATGGGAGAACAGACTCCGAACCTGCGCTAACAGATTCATACCCTGAGTTATCTGCCTTGGCGTTTAGTCTATGTGCATGGACAGGCAGAAGGAATTTGGATATCCGTTACATAAAAAGTCTTGCCATGTCAGTAAGTGAAGCGTCTGCCTCTCTCTCCTTCCATCCCGTGGGCCAGCGGAGAGCCAAAAGAGATCTTCTTGTAGAAAATAAAATGCCACAAAACCACTACCGCAACCAGAATCCCTCCTGATCTGAGATGCACATACAGGGACCATTGTACCCAGCAAGGACAAAGAAGTCCCATTACACAGTCCTATACCTACATTGGGAAAGGGAAGAAAGTGCCTTGGCATCTTTAGCACATGGCAGGTATGTCTACCACACTAACAAGGTAGCAGACTGACTTTATCAGCCTCAGGGATTGCTGCAGGCTGTAGGCTTAGATCTTTAAATACAAGATTGCTGGACGCCAGAGCAACAAGCACTTTACAAAGCCTACAGGAAAGTGAGTCTGTGCAAAGCCAGGGGAAAGAGCTGCTTTCCTGGCTGAATGGGAAGTAAGACCTTTGCTTGTATATAAAAATTAAAAAAAAAAAGAAGAGAGAAGCAGTGATTTGCAAGCAACTGAGTGCTGAGCACAGCAAGACATGCTCTACCCTCGTGGCCACCGGCAGCAGAGACAAGCCCAGGAGAGGAGGAAAGCTGCTTTCTGGATCTGCAACTTCCTCCTTCCTCGGGCTCTGCGGCAGACAGGATGAGATCTACCTGCTCTCCCCATGCTCATCGTCCCCGCCACCGAGGCCAGTGAGTCAGTGCTCATTGCTGGCATCACCTTACCTCCACACCACCAAGAGGCATGGAGGCCTCTGGCAAGGTGGGGGCTAAAGCAGGGCCATCACAGCCAACGTGGACACACGTACGGACGACCCAGAAGCTCTGCAGAGATATGTACAGATACCAGCAGGTCTGTTGCACGGTATCTAGTAGGCATGAAGCCAAATCCCCTTTGAACTTGAGGCCAGGGTGGGGGGTGAAGCAACGCTGTCTCCCCTTCCCAATGCAGATTTACCGAAGTGTCGGGCTGGGAGGGACCTTGCGAGATCATCGGATCCAGCCCCCCTGCTCCGGGCAGGAAAGGCTGCAGGGGTCAAATAACCCCAGCGAGGTGTGCGTCGTCTCCTTGTGAAGCTCTCCAGGGTAGGTGCCTGCACCACCCTCGCTCAGAGTCTATTCCAGAGTCTGCTCACACGAACCGTGAAGACATTTCTCCTTATATCCAGTCTGAAACCTCCTTGTAGGAGTTTATGGCCATTGCTCCTGGTTTTCAGGACCTGGGGTTTTTTGCACCTGGGGTGCACCTGGTTTTCAGGACCTGGGGTTTTCAGGTTTTTTGCACCTGGGGTGCATTGGTGAATAGTTGTTTGCTTTGCCCGATGCTCTCCCCTGATATAGTTGTAAGCTGCCACCAAATCCCCCCTCAAATCTTCTCTTTTCTAGGCTGAACAGTGCCACATCTGTCGGCCTTTCCTCATATAAGGGAATAATGTCTTTATTATACTCTTTTCAACGTATAACCCGCCCTCCTGCTAGCGGTCCCTCTTGCCCCAGCACCGTTTCCCTTGCTGCCGTCTGCTTCAGCATTTGCCCTCTCCGTCTCACTCCAACTCCCCTCCCCAGCCCAGCACGTCTTCCCCGCCATCCCCGTGGCACGGGGAAGCACCGTGATGTGACACTGCTTCGGGGGGGGGGGGTGGAAAGGCCAGGCCAACTACAGCTGCTACCAGCTTTTCCTTTTCCCACCAGTGCAGGGGAAGAGGAAGAACAGGAGTCTCTGCACATGGGGAAATCTAGTCCCGCCGAGGGCATTTCTCTGCACTCCTCTTACTTGCTCTGCCGTCTTTCTGCCCCTTCAACTGCCGCCGCGGCTCCAGACGCAACTGCCCCGGTGCCGGGTTCTGGAACCGAGGCCAAACGCGGGCTCCGGTTCTACCGCGGCCCCCGGAGCAGCTTGGCCCCGCGGCTGGCCGGTCTGACAGTGCAGGGTCGGCACGGTGGAAATGCTCGAGGCATGCCAGTCTGCTCCAGGCCGTGCAGTCCAAAGCCACTGCTCCATCAGTCGGTGAGAAGCTGATGACATCGGCATCATGCTTGGCTCCTGGCCCAGTGGAGAGAGTACTCCTTCGGACGCCCTCATCTTTTAATCCTTGAAGATATACCGGGAGAAATGCTAGACGGGAATCTCGCACGCTTGGCGCAGCCAAGAGCAGGCTCTCGTTTTGTCGTGCCCAGCACCCTGACTCTTGCAGCAGCGTGGGTATGGCCTCCAGAGACGTCCCCTTGCTATGCTGCTAGATGTCAACCTTTGAAGGAACAGGGAAAGGACGCAGCTCGCTACGAAGAACAGAGAATCATAGAAAATAGGGTTTTCAGGGCTCTCAAGAGCTCACCTAGTCCAGTGGTTTTCAACCTTTTTTCATTTGTGGTGCCTATCTTCAAGAAAGGGAGGAAAGTGGATCCGGCTAACTATAGGCCCATCAGCCTGACTTCTATCCCGGGGAAGATCTTAGAAAAGTTTATCAAAGAGGCCATCCTTAATGGACTGGCCGACGCCAACATCTTAAGGGATAGCCAGCACGGGTTTGTTGCGGGTAGGTCTTGCTTGACCAATCTCATTTCCTTCTACGACCAGGTGACCTATCACCTGGACAAGGGAGAAGAGATTGATGTCATATACCTTGACTTCAAAAAAGCCTTTGATCTGGTGTCCCATGATCGCCTCTGGGAGAAACTGGCCAATTGTCGCCTTGGGTCCTCCACGATCCACTGGCTGGAAAACTGGCTCCGGGGTCGGACCCAGAGGGTAGTAATCGATGGAAGTCACTCATCGTGGTGTCCTGTGACCAGTGGGGTCCCCCAAGGCTCTGTCCTTGGACCCATACTGTTCAACATCTTCATTAATGATGTGGACACTGGAGTCAGAAGCGAACTGGCCAAGTTCGCCGATAACACCAAACTTTGGGGGCATCCTTATAGGCTCAGCAGTGCTATGTTGGCTAGCACTATGGAAGAAAGAGACTTGGGGGTCATCGTTGAGCACAAGATGAACATGAGCCTGCAATGCGATGCGGCGGCTAGTAAAGCGACCAAAACGCTGGCTTGCATCCATAGATGCTTCTCAAGCAAGTCCCGGGACGTCATTCTCCCCCTGTACTTGGCCTCGGTGAGGCCGCAGCTGGAGTACTGCGTCCAGTTTTGGGCTCCACAATTCAAAAAGGATGTGGAGAAGCTTGAGAGAGTGCAGAGAAGAGCCACGCGCATGATCAGAGGTCAGGGAAGCAGACCCTACGATGACAGGCTGAGAGCCCTGGGGCTCTTTAGCCTGGAGAAGCGCAGGCTCAGGGGTGATCTGATGGCCACCTACAAGTTTATCAGGGGTGACCACCAGCATCTGGGGGAACGTTTGTTCACCAGAGCGCCCCAAGGGATGACGACGAGGTCGAATGGTCAAAAACTACTACAAGACCGTTTCAGGCTGGACATAAGGAAGAATTTCTTTACTGTCCGAGCCCCAAGGTCTGGAACAGCCTGCCACCGGAGGTGGTTCAAGCGCCTTCATTGAACACCTTCAAGAGCAAACTGGATGCTTATCTTGCTGGGATCCTATGACCCCAGCTGACTTCCTGCCCCTGGGGCAGGAGGCTGGACTCGATCTTCTGAGGTCCCTTCCAGCCCTAATGTCTATGAAATCTATTTGCAGACTCCTACAAAATTTCAAGCGGAGGTGCGGACCCCTTTGGAAACTTCAAGTGGAGGTCCGGACCCCTTTGAATGGTAAGTGTGGGTATTCACATACCTTTGATTGATCCTGGTCATCTCCTGCAGACCCCTTAGACGTAGCCTGTGGACCCCCCCGGGGTCTGCAGACCACGGGTTGAAACCCATCGATAGTCCATTCCCTGAACCAAACAGGATCGACGAGGCCTGAACCATCCCAACATCAATGGCTACGTTCAGTGGAGTCTCCAAGTAAGTGCCCATTCAGGATGGAGAGGCCAACCTCTCCACACTAGATCGGGGTGCTCAACCACCAGCCCACAGGCCAGATCTGGCCCATGGCACCATGTTAACTGGCCCAAAGGGCTCCCCAGGGGTCCGGAAATTTGGCAATGAGGGAGAGGTGCACCTCTCCCCTGCTACCAAATCTCCAGGCCCCGTGCACTTCCCCATGGGAAGCTCCAGGCCCCGTGCACTGCTCCCAGGCAGGGTAGGGCTGGGCGGGATGGATAGTGCAGGGCCCAATCCTGGTGTGGAGCCCTTGGAGGGGGCAGCGCCAAGCCCCCAGGACCCAATCCAAGCCCACAGGGGGTGGTATCAGCCCCCCAGGACTCAATCCTGGTATGAAGGCGGCAGTGCTGGACCCTGTACCACTCATCTGGCCCACAGGACCAAAGGTTTGAGCATCGCTGCTCTCCATGGAGGGGTGGGAGGCAGCACTCTGTCCAGATGCGGAGACCCCACATGCAGGGTATACGCTCTGCTAGCCAGCAGGTAGTTATTTCAGACCTGGAGTTGGAGGAGCTGCAGTACCTGCTGAAGAATGGGTCACATGAAGCAAAAGCAGTCTCCAAAGATGATTAAAAATTAAGACCCTCTCTGAACTGTCTTTAATGGACCACCTTTTTCAATATGTGCTGTAACTAGGAAGTGGAAACAAGGGAGACCAGGGGGCTCCTGTACAATGGTGATTCAAAGGAATAGCATTATACATCCCAGTCGACCTCCACAGAGACGACAGAGACCTGCTATCAGCTTGCCTAAGACAAGCTGCCAGAGAAACAAAACCATAACGTGAGTCACCAGGATCACTCCAGGAGAGTCATAATGCAAGTATGTTATGCTGCCCAACGTTACAGAGCCAGGGCAGCTCTCACTAGGCTCATAAAAATAATAATAATAATAATAATAATAATAATTTTTAAAAAAATCAGTCTTTTCTTTGAGCCCAGGTACATTTATGTGATGAAAGGTGGGACCTGAAACAGCAGGACTCAAAACAAGAAATCCTCACTAGTTCCACCTTCATGGCACCGGAGAGGGAGTTGGTCCAGCCACGAGGGAGGGAGGGACATGCAGACATCTCGTCACCTTCCCCAGCCTATTCCTCACCAGGGCTGGGGATGTGCCCATGCCAGAGCAGGTGTCTGATGTAGAAAGTTTCCTACCTGGGGAGGGAGCAGGAAGCAGGGGATGAGAGAACTGAAGCTGGCACAGACTGAAAGAAGAAGTAAAACTCCTGACACTTCCTCTAAAGTCACCAGGAGACGTCTCCGATGTCTCAGAAAGGCACCGTGTAAAACCCACCGTCTCCAACGTACCATCTACACCCTGCCACAACTCGATGAACCCTCTCATCAAGTTCAACAGGACCCCGTGCACGTCAGGTTGCTCAGATGCATCGTTCCAGGATCGGGGCCGTGCAGACAAGCTGGGTTGCCCCATTCCCAAGCGCTGCGGTAACGCTGCCACGATTATTAAAATGCTTCTAAATTCCTTAGTATAACATTATCTAAGCCCAGTGCCAATGCACATGGCTCGTGCTCGCAGCGAATCTTCACAGGGGAGAAAGGGAAATCTCCATGAAACACTGAAAACTACATTGGCTTTAAGAAAACTGTCTATTTAGAGAAAAAAAAAAAAAAAAAATCAACAAAGCGGCTTGCAGCTTTCTAGGCAAGGAAGAAAGCCTCAAGCGCTGCACACGACAGAGCGTTTCCCCGCTGCTGCTCTCTCCCATGCAGCCAAGAGAGGGCAATGTTGATCCAGGCTCTCCCAAGGCAGCTGCCTAAAAAGAAAGCTTGGGCAGAAGGAAATGAGCAGTCAGAGATAGAGACATTTTATCAGATTGCAAGGGCCGATTTCCCTGGGAAAGGAAGTATGGTGCATTAAGCTGATTGTGCCTTTGCTCTTAGCTAAACGGGCTGGCATTTTACAATGCAAAGGTTTTTTTTTCTTAAAAAAGGAAGCCTAGCTGGTTTCTCTGAATTTGGGGCGGGGAGGGGGTGGGGGTGAGGGTGGGGACAGAGATGGGGATGGGGGGAGGCTGGCCACGCGCAGGGCATGGCTGGGCTGGCGCCTCCTGCCCACAAGTGCTGCCCCAGGGAATGAGTGTTCGAGATTCCCAGGGGAAATCAGGATAGTTGGGGAAATAAGTGGTAGGAGATCTAATAGGAGATCTAGCGGGAGGAAATCATGCACCCTAGGAGCACGGGGGGGTAGGGGGAAAGGAAGGAGAACAGACCTCTCTCCCAACCAAGGAAGAGAGAGAGAAGATATGGCTGAGCTGCTACTACCCCATTCACCGAGATCCCTCCAGGGTTCAGGAGAAGCCCCTGTCAGTCCGGGAGACCTGCCCAGCTCGAGACCCCGGCCCCAGCACCCCTCCCTACCCAACCATGTTGCCTACAGCCAAAGGCACAAAGCACCTGCCACTAGGGCGACGCACACCTCCAGGAGCATCCCTGAAGCGCCGGGAGCGAGAGGCACCCTGGGCTGGGGCTGGTCTCAGCTGCATATAACGGCACCCATCTCACCGCTACGACCCCTCCCCACTTTGCCCATTTCTTGGTGTCCATGTTCACCTGCATCTTGTGTCCAAGCGCACGACAGGTTTGGCAGGGCAGGAAGAGCTGCCGCCTAGCATTTGCACACGCCAGGCCCAACAGCCCCCTCCTTATTGCGACGCATGGGCGCTGCAGCAGCGTGCATCGCTGTAATGGAGCTAGGAGAGGAAAACCTATGGAGCTATCAGGTCTCCAGGGGCAGGGGAGAGAGGACCGGCAGGACTGCTATTTTTGCACACGCGTGTTGCTGACTGAGACAGTCAGGGCTTGAAGAACCTCCTTGCGAAGCTATTGGCAGCACATCGCTGCCGGTATCTGGCTGGAACAGCAGGTCACCCCGCTCTCTGACCCCTCCAAAAGTTAGCTCTTATCTTACAAGCAACATGGAGCACTAAGGGGAGGCTGACTGGCCTCATAAATCTTTCCTAGATCTTCAACCAGCGCTATTCAGACAGCAACAGCTCCTCTACAACACGCGAGCAGTCCGGCCGACCCAGGCGTTCACCCATCTGATTGCACTCCGCTGGGCTCTTCCCGATTACTCAGGGGATCCCCCCAAACTCCTGAACAAGTCCTCTGAGGTCACTTCAGATTCATCCTCAAGTTACTGCCCTAAGATCCCATTGCAATGAAATCAGTTGTGCTCACGTTCGGCACCATGGACCAGATCAGCAGCACAAAGCTGATTCGAGGACCAGATCAAGCCTCGTGTGTCTGCACTGCCCCCTCCCTGCTCCACAGCACCGGGATTAGGCCCTGGAGCCCTGCACCCCCTCAGTATGCCAGGATTGGGGCCCAAGGCCACCCCTTCCCACCCCCACGTGCCAGGATTGGGCCCTGGGGTCTGGCACTGCCCTTGCACACTGGGGTTGGGCCCTGGCGCCCAGTGCTGCACCCACCCAGCCTTGTGCACTGGGAATGGGCACCTGATCCAGCACATAGGGCCTGGGGCTCCCGTGGGTCTTTAGAGAGCCCACTGGGATGGATGACTTAGGACCGCAACCCAGATCTGACCCACAGGTTGGGGGTTAAGCACCCCTGAACTAAACTAGTCCGCTGCGGCTTGTCCTAAATGTTGCAGGTCTATAATTCCTCGAGAGGTGGCAGCACCAGCAGGTAGTCCATATGCTATTTAAACATTTAGCCCTGCTTATCCTCAAAGGCCAGCTGGGCTTTCCCACCTTGCTAACACTGATTTTGGTAGAGAACCTCACCAAAGTCTTACCTGGCTGTTTGGATCTCCAAGCAAGTTACATATATGCGGCACGATCTTGCTCAGCGTTAGACTCTGAGCTCCGGATCTAGGAGGAAAACAATATAAGTGCATCAGCACAAATAAGTATCGACTAAACTCCCCAAAACCACGTAAGCCACATCTGCAACAGGTCCCGACTTACGCGTTGAGCGTGGCAATAAGGCAGAGGCAAATCCCTTCTCTCGTCCGGAAATTCTTGTGTTTGAATCCTCCTAGCAATCTGTCCCACACGTACTGCAGGAAACAGAAAGGATGGCAAAGAAACAAGGGCGGGGGGGAGAGGGAGTGAGGTTTTTTTTTTCTTTTCCAGCCCAGGTGCAATTTGACATCTCTTGGGAGTAAATATAGGCTTTGCACCCACTCATGAACGCACGGGTGAGGGTTACAGGAAGGCAGCATTAATCTCATGGGGTGACTAAGATTTTGTTCTTTGCTGGGTCTTTCAGTAACTCCCTCCTACCTTCACACACACACACATGCACACAAACACACACAGTGGGTGTGTCTACACATGCCCATTGAAGGCACATTAGCCGTTTTTAAGGCGCATTAAGGGCGCCCGTCTACACGTGCATGCCCTTAATGCGCCTTAAAAATGGCAATTTGAGGCTATTCGCACCTAAATGCGATACCTGCAAAAGCAGGCATCAAATTTATGCACAAATAACTAAAGCTGCTTAACACATGTAGACGCACTCAAGTACCTTAATGCTGTGTATGTCAATTGATTTGGGACTAACTTTAGTCCCAAGTTGGTCCGCAAGCCTTGTTAATGTGCCTTAGTGCGTGCATGTGTAAACGCACACCTAAATCGCCTTAATGCGCATTAGGCATACGTGCATTAAGTTTAGGCATGTGAAAAAACACGTGTGGACGTGCCTAGTTTTACCTCCACACGCCTCAACACCCAAAACACAGACTGACACCTGAGAGACCCAGCAGAACCTGCCTGTAACACTCATCACCCAGCAAAGCCTCAGCTTGGTATCGCTATAGCGCTCTGGGTCGCAGGGGAAAGGCATCAGCTATCAGCCAACCGGCGCTTACAGTAATTGGTGAGGCCTCCTTTCTGCCTAAGATCCCAGGAACAAACCAAATGAATGGGAGGCAAAGCTCAGAAGCTGGTGCTTTCCTCGAGGAACCGACAGAACAGGAGAGCATGTTGCATTGCAAAGGATCTCAGCACCTCACCAATTAACACGTGCCACACACCACCCACTAGGAACCGGGCACTTTCTGTGCAACCCCTCATCTTACAAAACACCCAGAGGATCGCTCACATCCCTGCAGAACACCAAGGACCCAGATTCAAAGATACCCAGCCAGGAGATCCACACCCAGCAAAGCACATGGCACTCAAGGGATCTCTCTTGGGAGGGTGTTGAGTTGATCTCACTCCACTGGGATTACAATGTAAAGCTTAGCACACTGATAAACCAGCCCTACCAGATCTAACCACATCTTTCTTCACACACTCGCTTCTGCATGATCAGCTTAAGAAATTATACTGTGCACCAGCAGGGAGGGGAGCTTTGCCAGGTAATCAAAAATAAGGATTCGGAGGCAGCTGTTTGCTTTTTAATAGGACCTCATGCATGCACGTACACACACACGGGTTGCTTCTTCCACGTTGCCATACCTGAGGGTTAGCAGCTTGTTCCATGATTTTTAGCAGCAAAGCTTGATCCTGCTCCCGCACCGAGTCTTTCGAGTCTCCTAGCCTGTCAAGCAAACTGGGCAGCACTGGGGATGAAAAGAAAGCACTTAGGTCCAGCAGAGAGCAACCTACAGTGTCCCTGTTATGATCCCTCCACCCTCCCTATCCCAGAATAAAAAGTGTGCAATGGTGCGCTCGTTCGCAACCCTAGAAAAAGCTGTGTGTCCTCCACAATCCTCCTCATACAGAAGGAAAGAAGGCCTCAGCCCTTGTCGGCGTGGTACCAACCAAGCTATAGGTGTGAAGATGAGTAGTGAGAGGGACTTTGCATAGACAGAGGGAGGAAAGGAGATAGCAGCATGCACCCACCCCAGGGACACGGCCCAGCCGCTGGGCAGGAGCTGCTCCAAAAGCAAAGAGCTCCGTCCCTGGGAGCGGGGTACACGGGAGCAATAGTGGAGAACCCAGATCCCCCTCTCCAACCAGCACCGACCCCACAGGGCACGAGCGGCTCCAACCACCGCAGGCAGCAGGGCAAGCTCCCTGAAACTCTCCTAGTCAGTGGTTATAACCAAATGATATAATCAGGCTAAGGTCTGGGGCACTGAGCTCTACGGAGGAGACAGGCGTGGGCAGGAGCAGCGGGAGGGATGGACTCAGCGCAGGAGCCAGGTTCTACTTCTGCACCATCCCAAACCGCAATTTGCCCTTCTGGTGCATGGGGATGGAAACAGGAGGTGCAAAAGGTGCAAAACTCCCGGTCCCGGGAAGCAGCCTTTGGGTTGAGGAAGGCTCCTTATACGACGTTAAAAACCCTTCATTCAAGAGATGCCAGGCTGCATCCTGCCGCTCCTTTACAGCCGTTTCACCTCCTTGCCTTCAACCAGGCTCCACAGGAGCGAGGGGGCGCAGAATTAGGGTCTCACACACCTCGGAGGAGCCAGCGCTCCCTGACCCCTTACCTGTGCCGATCTGGGCTCGAAAGCGATCCTGCAGTCGTGACACCAGCGCCGAGAGGATGTCCATCCCGAGCAGAACCACCTGTGAACACAACGAGACGGCAGGTCAGCACGAAGCCCTCGTCAAGTGCCGGGACAGACGAGTCTGAAGAGTTTCAAGTAAAAAGAGAAACAATATTTTTGTGCGTGGATTGGGCCAGACGTTCCCGCTGACCCGTATTTTGGCAGACTTCAGCGCGAGCCGGACACGCTCGCGCACAGAAAACGCAGCTGTACAAAAATCACCACCCCACTTCTCAGAGGCAAGAGCGGGACGCGTTTTTCAAACAAGCAAACGTTCCCCCGCGGCCTTTGCAACCTAGATCCCGACCGTCCAGAAGCCGATTGGGAATGCGACTCTATGCAGTCCTAGAAAGATTTACGAGGCATTCTTTTCGGTATTTGAAGTTACCGCTTTTGTAGCAATTATAGTGAACTGCTATTATCAAATAATGAGCGGTTATACTGGTTTCATTCATTTTATTATCCAAATGCAGAGTCAAAAACCAAATCAGGACAAAGACAATCAATAGGAGCAAGGATTTTTTAATTGCAAGAAAAGGTTTTCATGTCTTCAGTACCGGCGAGGATGCTTATTCATATCCACCGTTTGATCATAAAGCTGGTGGAGCTGGAAGGGACCTCCAGAGGATGTCCAACCCCTGGCCTGAGGCAACCTTCCCTATGCAAACCCTCCTAGCCATAGTTTAAATTCTGCGTATGCCTATTGTCAACCCCGACCTAACACCTGAACCTGCCATGGGTACAGAATAATAGAAAATAAGTAAATAAGGCTACAAATCACTTTAAAACCCCACGGAAGCAAAAACAAGCGACCACCCTAACTAACCTTTGGCAAAGAGTGAACTAAAGACCCAGGCAAGCTTGAAAAAGCTGTAACTTTGCATGAATGCTTGATGCGGGGATGCAAATGTTATCCGCTTAATCAGGCTATTTTTCAGCTTAGCAAGCAGGGGGTTGCATAAAACCCAAATCTCCATTCTGCTCCTTCCTCCCAGGAGGTGACATGAAATGCCAGCTCCACTCAACCTGCAAAACGCTCCTGCTTGCTGTGCGCGGTCACTAGGGTGCCGGTGGTGGGGCAGCTCCTGCACTGCGGCCCCTTTAAGGCCAGCCTTACCGGCTGCATATGCAAATGAGCACCCTCGGCGGCGCGCTGCCTTGTGGGTAAAACCCTTCACGCCGACAAAAAGGGGGATGCGCTGGGGCGGGGAGCAGCGTCAAGAGCCGGGGAGGGGTACAGGCGCGGCGGCGCGGGGCGGCAGTAGGGGCTAGCGGCGACCCCCCGCCGCCGCTTAAACTTGGCAACCGTCCTTATCTTGGGGTGCGCGGCGGCCCAATGAACGCGTGGTGAGGGCCGCCCTGCTGACGCAAGAAACAGCACTTCGCGCCCGCGAGGCGAGCGCAATTTTTGGAACCGCTTTCGGGTGCCGCCGAGTGTGAACGGACAGAGCGGAGTCCGCCGCAGACTATGCCCTCACCCCCTTCCCGCGGCGTGCGGGGCGGCCCGCGCCTCCTGTCCGCTCGCGGGGAGGGGCACGCGTGCGTACTGCGGTGTGGGCATCTCCCACCCCGCAGAGCCTTTCCGACTGATCCACACTGGCGTCTACGTGGACACAGTGACTTACTGGGATGCATCTGTACGTACAGACCTCACAGCTACGTATAATAGCCCTCTAGATACAGCATACATCGCAGCAATCTAGGAAGCGCTCTCACACTGTATATGAGAGCAAACATATATATATATATATATATATATATA